AAAGTCAAGCTACGTAACACATTGAGAAATAGGACAGTGAAGCGGGACATTCAGGGCAACTGATGTATGGTGCAGACATTAGTAATCATTTTGTTCCAAGAATCACAAGACAGCTTTCACTGTCAAAGAGAAAGAGCTATATATAAAAGTGTAACCGGTTGCAAATTGGAAGCGCAGATATAGTGCGATTGCCATGTTGTCTTATTTGTTCCGGACAGCGCTGACGAGCTCTTAATATTGCAAGAGGAACACTGGAAATAAAGCTCTAATAAAGGATGCCTGCGAACAATCAAAAGCCCCCTTCAATAGCGAGAGACAGAATGGTCCTCCTGATCAAATCTTTCCCTTTATGACATTATGGCCCTCGCAGTATGTGAGAGTGCATGATGTATGATGGGAAGAGCCTTAACAAGCCATCAGAAGTGCCAAACAGCTCCTAGTGTAAATCACAAACCTCCCAGGAGCCTCATATATATATATATATATATATATATGTATATATATATATATATATATATGTATATATATATATATATATAAGGCCAAGAAAGGATCTGGTAAACCAATAAAGATCAGTGGCTAAATGACTTTCTCAATCTCAATACTAAACACAGACTAAAGCAGCTTTGGCTTTATTGGATGGACAGCCGGCCAGCTCATCACCTCTGTAAGTGGAATACATTACATCCAGCTATGATCCTGCAAGTGAGAAAGCCTTTGTTTCCCAGGGGAACATGTATGTTCCTCTTGCTGCCATGGTATACATCATGCTACAGGATCAAATCAATACCAAGAAACTGCGGAGAAGGTCGGTAGCAAGGAAGTGAAATCCTCAGAGCTGAATCCCATTTACTTCCTACAGCACGAACAAAACGTTGTGGTGCAGACTACACCCCTTTTCCAGGTTATTGGTAATACTGAACTGAATGCAGTCCAATACAACTGAGACTGCTTTAGGGAGGTGTTGATTCAACTTCATGGTCATTTTGGAGGATGTCATTTGGGACGTTGCTGAATTATATTGAATTATACTGAGACATGTTTCGAACAACACATTTATAACAACAAGAGACCGTGGACAGAGCTTCCAAAATGCCACAAAGATGAATCAACACCTCTCTAAAACAGTTTCAACAAAAACTATTTTTTTATTGCAGGGCCATACTAAACTGGCAACTCAGAGTATATTTTATATCCCTTTTTACCTTTGACCCAAATTGTTGTATCACACAAATCAACGTGTGAGCTACAAATGGATTAACTCTAAGTCTAAAGCAAACACAATGAAAAGAGTGTACACAAAGCTGTTTGGGTCGATACATTGAAACACTATGTGTGCATATGAGGCCTTTAAGTTAATGTGTGATGGTGAAATGGACATGCACACACGCCCACACACACACACACAGTATAGATTGTGAGACTGGGAGAGATGGAAAGAGGAGAGGCTTTACATCCATTAATTAATTCACTGCAGATGCAGTTAATCCTCTTCTTCCTCGTTGAGATTATTGCTTCTCGCAGGGCCTTGCTGTGACTCCCTCGCTCTCCTTCCTCTTCCCTATCCCTCCTCCCCTTTAAGCCTCCCAAATAACTCCCCCGAATGCAGGTCAGCAGTTGTATAGCAAGAATCCCTTATTTACAAATCCTGAGGCAGCAGTCACCTCAATTTCTTCCCTGTGACAAAACGCGGATACAGACCCCCCACAGTGAGGTGCTGGCTTTGAGACAGATGTACACCCCATTAGTAGAGGAGGGGTTCTAGTGTCTGCCAGCTGTAAATCACTTTTTCGAGTAAGATGGTGCTTTGTGTCATCATAGCTAATCAAAAATGTTTGTAATTGAAAATAAAAGCCAAAATATACGAAGCGTAGGACAATTCATTCACAGCAAAATGACAGTCCTTATTATTTACTACACTGACACATCTATCATCTCATATTTGTGATGCTTGTACGACTGTAGGACTGACGGGAGCTTGGCATGCTTCTCTCACCAGATTGTTGATGCTACCCAATGTGTGATTGGCATTGTAGAGCGAGTAGGTCAGCTGGTGCACCCCATCGTTGGTCTCGCTGTTACCATAGAAACCCACTCCCACAGCCGAACTGTGAAAAAAGGAGAGATTCAGATTTAATGAGTAAATAAATAAACATAATTAATGCCCTGTTTGTTGTATCGTGGTACTTCTTGATAACAGACTGCATGAGGTTATTAGACGACAAGTAAGACAAAGAAATGTTGTTCACAACTCCTAAAGGGGAACACTGATGCTTTAGGGGAGATATGTATCGGGGTAAATGGACTTGTACGGCGCCAAAGCAGTCCTACGACCACCCAAAGCACGCTTACACTACATGTCATTCACCCATTCACACCCATTCATACACTGACGACAGGGGCTACCATGCAAGGTGCCACCTGCCAATCAGACTAACTAACACTTGTAAACCAATCACGCACCATAGGCACAGCTGATTTGGTTGGGTTTGCCCAAAGACACATCGACGTGGACTGGAGGAGCCGGGAATCGAACCACCAATCTTTAGATCAAAGGGCGACCCGCTCTAGACTTTGCATTGTTTTTCTATAATCTTCTTCTTCATTTTGAACCTTTATTGTGCAGTCTCAGTACAAATTGTGTCCCATGCTACTTCCTTCACTTATCTATTTTATTACTTATATGTTTGACCCCTTTCTCTCACACATACATTCTGAGCTAAACACACTGTATCAAACCATCTATTTTCAGCAGTAGCTTGTTAGCCCATTCAGTGCTAAATGTATCAGAGTGGAATACACAGGATCCCTATTTACCTTCCTGCAGCCTGAGATTTTCAGAGCCTCTGATATGGGGAAGATGAATGTCCTAACCCCCTGCGTCAGTGTACCCCTATGCTAGCAGTCCACAGTGACATGAGCGATGACACAATTTCATTGTACTTTATGGTGGTGAGGTCACTCCACACAAAGGTCGGAGGTTAGTAACACTTTCAACTGCATTTAGGGGCATTTTCCATAGCTAGAGGGAGCTCATCAATCAAACTTCAGATAACAGGAAGTCAGAGCAGGATTGTTGTTTCCGCGATACCACATGTACAGAAAACTAAGAGCTAGTTTACTTTCCCAATGACTCACATACTGAGGATTTTTAACACCATCTGTGCTGCAAAACCACACAAATAGTACACAATAGTGAGGTGGACACATGGCCACGTTGACACTATCATCCTCCGCAGTGAGAAAAAGACAACGAAGGACGTTATTAAAGTGCAAAGAAGGGATGTGGGGTTTAATTTTAGCATTTAATGCATCCTGTCAGGATGTGTGTAATATCTCACTATGAGTGCTTATGTGCATAGGTGTGTGTTTATTTGTGTGTCCATTAGCATCCTGTCCCTGTAACCTTGTAAGCATAATGAAAACCACTGCCTGTGTATCATCTATTAAACTAGTATCCTCAGCTTATGATTAGGGCCACAATCAAGTCGGAGCAAAAAATTATACAATGAAATGAATCCTTCGAAGCATAAATGCATGTTTCTGGTTTTAAAAAATTGCATAATTCAGCTGGTTAAAGACCGCTTGCTTTAAGCTTTGCAATACATTTTTTGTTTCAGTTGATCTGCGGCAAGCTGAACAATGAGCTCTTCATCAACCCTGTGGCCAACCAAGTGACATGTCAGCGACAAGAAAGACCCACTAACGACACAGTAATGACACAGGACATCGTGTGTGTTTAGCCTCCAGGGAAGCATTAGTATTTTTTTGTGGCTTTGAAAAAAAGGCTGTCTGCAGCAGCTAAAGGAAAGCAACACAATAAGCAATAGCACTAGAGCTTATGTGCACTCCAGGATATTTAGTGCCTTTGTTCCTGCAAGGATGGAACACTTCACAGACTGTGTGATGACTGGACAATTGCATCTTAGTATTCAAAACATGTTGTGAGCAGCACAAGGGGCCAGCTGGATGAACAAGTAATAACAGATAAATGCCTTGATTCTGTGGAGACCAGTGTATTGCTGCTATAATAATAAATTGCATCAGGGGTTAACAGAATCCGACACAGGCAGGAAGGATTTTTAGAATATTAGATTTGTTTGTTATTGTTAACCTTAATTTACCCTCATTCATTCTCCTCGGGTCAGAAATAGAGGTGCAGCGGCTCTTAGATCCCTTTTCCATTTTCTGCGGGATGACTGAGATGTAATTCTGTTTGAGTGTCATGCTCACTTAAAAGCTGGAAAAAGTCAACGGAATGAACAATTAGATCTTTCTTAAATGCCGTGACAGCATAATGAGAGAACAAAAAAATGTGCAGTTGAGTGCCGTATCATATATGAGAATTTCTGTTTTATATACATCTCTTTGTGTTTGTGCACAAGTCTACTTTGATCCAATCCAGCAACAAACAAAAAAAGCCATCAAAACTGTGTAACAAGCACATTTTCAATTGTGCTGCAACAGCTCGACACTACCAGGAATAACGTCAGTCAATAGCTATTCAACATTAAAAACATGTCAAAGGGAACAACTTCACAATCTCAAGCCAAAGATAAAATGCTGGTATCAGCAAGTAAGTGTAGATGGAGCAGGCAATACTTACAAAAACCTAACCTGTAATGTGAAGACTGTTTATTATAGCTAGATTATCTAATGGGATGCTGCATCCGTCAATTATAAAATATATAATTTGTCGACATGAATATACTAAAGTCCCTTGTTGCTACAGAGAGCAATGAGAGCTCTGAGCAGAGACCAGAGCCTCTTTGCTAAACAGCATCACGCTCAGTCACTTAACAACACAAAAGGCCTTGTTTGCTGTAGCAGCTCGGTATCTACACAGAAAGTTAACAAAGTTAAAGCCCAACACTTAAATAAATGTCACAAGTTTGAGCGGATCTGTACGCAAATTCAGTCAAGTCTTTTTTGGTGACTCATTAGGGAGACTGTCATCTGGTGACTCTTGTTTCTGACAGGAGTATAATATCATGAATGAAAGTACAATTATGAGCTCTGGGAGATTTTTTGGAAGATCCATGCCTAGATACCTGTGACCATATCATATGTTGTTGAGACAGTATGTCAAATGGAAACAGTGGACAAAGCACACAACAACATTGTAACAGACCAGGCCAATTCTAAAAGCTGCAGCATTATGGTTTGGTAGAGCAATTAAATGGACGAAGCTAAGCAATCAGCGGTCAAAGTTTTGGCGGGCATGGTCAGCTGAACAGTCAGCTGAGAGATTTAGCAGTCTGATCAGCCGTCAGCTGATCAGGGGCCCTGCTGATGATGCTGATGCCTGCCAGAAATACCCTTATTTGTATTCTTTAGAAAGAAATGGTTGAACCTTCGGTTACAAGCAGGTAGTGGAGACAACTTTTGTATGGGATAAAATAGAGTCAAATCATTTTTTGATTATTGATTGATTATCTGAATATCTGGATGACGTTGTTGCAGTGTTCTTCCACAGTAGATGAGAGGCTTAATCCAAAGCGTAATGCTCATATGTCATCAAATGTGTGAAACACGATGGCATTGGTTTACCATTTAACCCTTCAGACTCACCATATGATGAGACCTGTGATGACAGCGGACCAGGTGAGACAGCAGGTATCCGGCCGTTTGGTGTCTTCATCTATGTCTCTGCGGCAGCAACACATGCAGACCAGGCATACCGCCACAACCAGCAGGCTCAGACACAGACCCACTGCACCAACACATGCTAGAAATATCAGAGACTGGGGCAGGAAAGTGGAGAGAGAGAAAAGAGGCAACACATTTCATCAGTTGAAGTCAAGGCTAAGAACTGTTCAGCAGATTATATCCACAAATATCTCTAAAGAGGCTGACAGCTGGGCTTGAGATGTCAGGCTGCGTGACCCCGCCACCGGAAAGGTTGACAGCCTGAGTGAAAACAACCCACCACTATCGGACAACACTCATGCATAAAGATATTGTTGAGGTTAGCGTGTAGCTACCTCATCCCAATGATCATCATCATCATCATCATCATCATCATCATCATCACTGCAGCAAAAAGGGGGACAGAAACATAGACGTCTGAGGTTTTTGGGGCGAAAAAAGCCAACAGAGAATGTTGACTTTTCTGCCACAGCAGACCTTGGACTGTGGCTCAGAGGGAAACAGAAATGATCCAGGGCTGTGGGAGGGGAGAATCATGTGACACAATGGCTTTCATTCAGTCTTGTGATTTCTGAGTGTATAAAATAGTCAAAGCCTGAAGGATGGAGACAAACACTCTATAGAGAAGCTGGGAATGCTGTATTAAATAGTGTGTATGTACATGAAACACAGAATATTTCATTATAAATCCCCATGGTCCTTGGGTTTTTTTAATTCTCTGCAAAGCTGTTATCAGTACATAGAGTTTACAGAAATACAGAATTGGCAGCACGCTCCAAGGCAGACAAAAATATGGCATTGTTTATTTGCATCAGATCATATTTGGGGGAACATTTCTTGCTTGACGCTAAAGAGTTTATAATCCTGTTTTTTTTTTCTTACAGACAAGTCATATGACCATTTAGTCATAGTTCTCAGTAGCTTATTTCCCAATGCATATGCTTTTAAATGCAGCAGAAACACCAATTGATACGTTTGTCTTTACAGCAGCCAACCATTTAAAAAGTGTCTACACTGCTGCACAAACATTGATAATGGAAACAAAAAGTCACAACTGGGGCTCCCGTAGCGTTTATCATCACTGAGGAGCATTACATTTAGTGGACTCAAATTCAAAACATGGAGCTCTATGTTAGTTTAAAGACAAGAGAACAGCATGACATTGGTTTTACTTGCAAATACTTTGCACCCTGGTTTTAGTGCCCGCAAGTTCATAAAGTCTGGGTCTGGCTGACTTAGCAGAGCTGTTCCTTGAGTACAATGTCTGTGACTAATTATTGCATTTAGATGACATTGACACTGTGGCTGAATTTAAATTACATTATTTTGCATATTCTTTGCATAGTCCTTCATTATTCAAACTCTGTTTCAAGCTGAGCCTTATTTTGCCCTTAGATTCACAAAAAAAACGTGCTCAGGATGAGTGAACAAGCATACAGTAATAAATACTGTATTGCTGGGGTGTGTGGGTGAACATTGCTTTGCAAACCAAGATAAATGGTGGCCTTGAAAAAATACCAATCATGCCCACTTGAATATCTTCAATGTGACTGCACAGGAAAAAAATACAGTTGAGCCAGTGGCGTAAGATTGATTGTGTCTTAAACGAAATAGGTCAATACAGACACAGAGCCAGCTGAGATGCCCTTCCTTAATCCAGGCAAAAACCTTAATCCAATAATTTACTAATCATCAAGAGTCGCAGTGGTGTGGAATCTACAGTGGTTTCAACCCTGGTTAGATTTTCTGTCACTATAACTCCGTTTCAGGCCCTTCATTCTGCTAGTTCCACTCTCTTCTCTAATTTTCCACTCCATTGTTTTGTAATTAGACAGGCAGGCACTTCAATTTCCACAGGCTGCAATGCCATAACAAGGGAAAGGATGCATGAGAAGGAGGAGGAAAGAGAGACAGAAAACAACTACAGTGTGTCTGTGGTAATTGACCGGTCATTGATCTTTTATCTTCCCAAAAGGATGTTTATATAAAGTAGGTTTAAGTATGTACGCCTGTCTAATTTATTTAAACAGCAAACAACAAGCACTAGGAAATGTTTCTGTGGCTGCTCTACACTTCCTACTTTCCTCAAAAGACAACAGATGAACATGTCAAATGAAGAACATGAATTATTCTCAGGCTCGAGGGGCTGTGTGGGCCTTATGGACTACCAACGGTGTTCGTGACGCCACTGTGGCTATCTTCACTCCTCGCTGACTAGTGCTCAGCTGTGCCAGTGTGACACTGCTGGGATTCAATGAGCCACATGGACCTTGATACATGAAGAGAGAGGCACATTAAAGGAAACGAGCCAGAGCTCAGAGATCCTTGGTGACGGCTTCTTTGTAAATGAATCGGGGCAAAAAGGAGCAAGCAGTGCCACATGGAATTGCCCTTACACACAGACACACACCAACACTTATAAACTCATTTATATTTCGTGGGGGGGGACTGTTGTAATTTTGTAATATAACCCAGACAGTGCTGTCATGAGTGGTTCCAAGTTGAAAATGAAATCTGTATGCAATGTTATCATTCAGTAAACCAATATGTCCACAATTTTTCAAAATTAGATTTGGAAACAGCTTTTTCTGTCAACCAACAAATAAACACAAAGATTTGATTTTGTTGGAATAAATCAAAGGATGCAGTGTTGATCGATTGTCTCATACGAACTTCATTAGTGATTTTTACTTAAATTTACGCTCAAACTATACGCTGTTGTGATATCATGTGACTCATTTGTACTGTACACTGTGTGAGAATAAATCCAAGCTCTTTGTAGACAAATAACAAATCCAAGTTTTCTATGGTAAGAGTCAAACAGACAAGAAGCGAAGAAAATTAAGTCCAAAACATGAAGGCACAATATATAACAGCGATAATGAAGTGATTGACTGCAGATGGAAAACTATGGCAACAACTGAGCATGAAAAACCCATAATGTTTTTCACCATCCCACAGCCCATTTTATCTATGACTCTGGTCCTGAAGCCCACGGTCAGTCCCCATTACTAAACATGACAGTTTGGGACATTCACATGGCCTCAAATTGCCATAAATGTACTCTGGGGAAATTGAAATACTTAATTTGAAAAAAAAAAATCTTTACACTCTGAAAAATATGCCTCAATCCAATTTCTCTTGAAATAAAATCATGGAAAGGATTTGGGGAAAGAGCAGAACACAACCATCTCCTACAAGGAGTAGGTTGCTTGATGTTGTTTACCTTTTTAACTTAGCTGAAGATACTAACAAGACTGTATACAAAAGTACACAACATACAATATACATGTTAAAGCTGAGTGTTCACGAGTAATAAAGACTATAACGAAGGGTTAGTGTCCCTCTAAGCAGAGTGTGCAAACTTGCAGAAATATAGATACATGTTGTTTATTACCTGAAATAGTACACAGTCCAGTTAATACAGGTCATGTGTCATCATGTGAGAACTACAGTACAGAATGGGCTCTTACTTCCTGACATTGAGAGCAACACTTTGAGGGCGCTACACTGATGCATCACAGAGACAGAAGAGAGGGAAAGACAGCGTTTATCACTCAACACAGCAGTTTGTCTAAAACAACTTTTTGTTTGAATCTGAATCTAAATATGTTGTTTACCACTGTCAGTGGTCCGCAGGAGCTCTGATTGTTCTGATGCGATTCTTTTGAAACTACGTGCGCTTTTACGCGCAAGTACATTTACTAACCTGCTGATAGCTCGCCTCCTCCGGCTTGAAAGTGTTGTCGACCGTCTGGAAAAATAAATTGAAGTGGGGGAAATTGTGCAGCCAGTATGTCCACCACGGAGCAACGTAATCGAGTCTTGCAGTGGCCATTCCTGCTTGAAAAGTCAGTCCACCGAACCACTGACAGCGCGCTTTCTTTCGAGATATTGACAATCAAATATTCCCAGGTTTTGTGAAAAATAAAAAATAAATATAATCAACGCGACTTTAGTAGAGGTTAGAATCACCACAGAACATTATTGGGTAAGTTCTTTTTTTGCCATGACACCTTTAGAACCGGACAGATTGTCACTACTTCTCACTCCGGTTCCCATAGTTCTGTGTGAACTGTTAAGTTGCGCAACTACTAAAACATCATACAGCTTCAGTGCGGGCCAAGCGTTTGTATCCAAGACACGGGATTGAGTGACGGTATGAACCTGCCTCCTACAGAGAAGGCGTGACAAACACTTTTCAGTCAAGTGGGCCAGGCCACGGCATACTTTAAATGATGAAAAGTAAATCAAAATACGTGAACCCTCACTGAAAACATGGTCAAACACCGAATAGACGAGCTGCGTTTGGATGTCAATGGCCTGTGCCAACTTCTCCCCATTGAAAATCAAAATACTGATTCCACAATAAAATTGAGTCACATAAAAAAAGAAGCTCTGCACTCTGGCCTCGACGTGCAGCAGCATTTGGCGCAAGAGGCAGGGGTGTTAAGTACACTATTTATGACTTCTGCTGTTAATGGCTGACCTCTTGTGGACAATGAGGCGCACTGAGGTGAACGGTAATGATCATCATGGTAATGTGATGCTGCAGACATTAGTGCAGTATGTTGGCTTCTATGCTTTTATTTACAGTGTGGTGCTTTTCTTTTCCAAAGTAGAATTTACACCTGTATCAGATTCACCACATTAACTGTATTAAACGTGCACGATCCTATTTTGGTGCCGTGTGCAGAAACACATTTAAACTCGTAGTTACAACAAATGCCAGCACGTATGGCACTTATAAACAAACTTGTTTTTTTTTGGTGCTAAGGCTTGATGTGGTACGGTATGACCCAGCTAAATGGCTAAAGCACAGAAGTAAATGATTATTATAATTGATTATTATGTGCATTCATACAGCAAGGCATACAGACGGTTACAGCTATAGAGACTAACAGTGCTGTATAGTGAGCGAGAGTGGCACTAGGTAGGATGGAAAACATGGAAATTACATTGAAGTAGGGTCGTATGGACCTTAACTGGCGCTGGATACCAAGGTTTTTGAGTTTGTAAAAATGTAACCATGAAAGAGCAATTAGTGGTATGAGTGTATGAGTTGGTGTTTTGTCTGAAGACATACAGTATTGTTCCCATTTCTAGTGATTGGGAATGAATAGTAACATTGGTTATCAGGACTGTAAGGCTACTGAGGAAACATTTGGCTGTATCAGCGTCTGTGTGATGAGATCTGCCTCTGACTCACACTGCATTTCTGTTTATTATTTTGTTACTTTATTTAGAAGAAAGCGTTTGATACCTCTGGAAATGCCTCCAGCATATCTGAATTAAATGGATTCAGTATATGAACAGAACTCTACAATGCCATCACTCAGTAGCCTAATGTATATGGCCTGGGTAATCAACCAAACTAAATAGAATGAAAGTCCATTTGCTTTCGATAACAGATAAAAGGGAAGAGAATGTCATTTACATTGTTCCCAGAGGAAGAGTTGTTTTATCTACATGAAGCATAAAGAGTGGTTTCCTTGCAAGCTAAACCATCTTGATATCATATGGCATGGGCTATACCGCTGCAATTATTTGGATGCTTTGATGCACCTCCACGGTCAGAGTAAAAAAAGTGAGTGTGCCCTGAGTCTGAATACTATGAGTAGGTAATACTTGAAAGACACTGTATGAATATGAATTCCTGTCTAGGCTCTGCTTTCACAAGCATGGTGCCAGGAAACTCTCCGGTGATTGCAGTGCCAATCACTCTGGGGACCAATGTGAAAAAAGGGAATGGCATGAATACAAGCACCTCTGTCTGTGTCTCTTTAATTCAAGCCACATGTATCAAGCCCCCTTGCCTGCTGTTCATTTATTCTTGTTATTTCGGTGCAGACAAAAAATGTCAGACCCACAAATCACATTGACGCCAGTGTGAACTTGTACCCTAAGGATGTATGTCGTTAAGCCACAAACCCCACAATAGTCTTATTTCTTATTACTTGTTTGTCAATCCAATTCATATTCTGAGTCTAATTAAACTTAGCTCTGAGTGTACCTTTGTAAATCCATGTTTAAATTATTTTTAAACACTGCTGGGCTTTGGTAGAGGATTCGCTATAAATGTACGTAGTTGTGGCTTAAAGAGCTTTGCATAAAAGCCATCACCAATTGGGAAATGGTTCAAATGTTCATCCACCACTTATTCACGGACAATGAAGCTGGACCATTAGGTGGCAGCCCAGCACTTTTCTGCAATGCCTAGACCTTATACTGTTCACTGTCCAGTGGTGTCCTCTGTTTGGATGTGTGTGAAGAACACAATCTCAACCCATCATTGCACAGAGCTCCTTTGGGCATAATTCTGGCCATAAAGTGAGATATAATGTTAATGAACTCTGACTTATAGATAAGATACACTACTCTCTTGAAATAATCTCTGGGGTCAGCAGTTTGGGCATTGATGCTATATGAAAGACATATCAAAGAGGACTTTGAAGTCAAGCAACTTATAAAGTCATATAGTGAGTGACAGGTCTGAAGGTCAGTAGTGCTCCAACAGCTCTATTGGAATGTTTTACAGAAGGTAAAAAAAAAAACCTGGAGAAACCTGGAGAATATTAAATTGTATATATATATATAAATATTCCTTTCGGAGCAGGTGATTCTCTGACCTTGATTTCTGTGGGCAGCCACATTTCACCCGGAGCTGACTGGAACTGCCTTGAGAATAATGTCACACCCCATGACTGGAATTACAGAAAAGAGGACTTTTTCGTTAAACCTGTTTTTTTTCATAATGTGTAGAATAAGAAATAGTATGAGATGCCTTGACACGGACACATCTTGGATATGTGCAGTGGTTTGCAGATGCTATTTTTTATGAAAAAAAGGAGAAAAAACAACACTTTTCACAGCCCTTGTTGTATGCTGTAATTGTTGCTTCTTCCTCATCATGTGCTCAAGTGTCCTCAACGAGCGCCGGATTTACCTCCTGATTGACTGTCTCCATAACAATTACAGGGATGATTGGTTCATTTAAAAGTGTTTTGAAGAGCCTCGTGTCTACATCCTATACTACTGGGCTCCTTCCTAGCCATAACAGTTACTGTTCAGTGGAATGTGGAAATGTGTTGTATTGGACTTTTCCTCCTTCATGGTTATTGCTTTTTTGGATTTGTGACTCAAATCCCCTTGCTCTATTTTGAGTGATTTATACATAGGAATGAAGATTTATGCCTGAGAGCTCAATGTACCGGTATTATCCAATCAAACTGGGCTGCTCAGTGGCTCCTGAGATTGCATTAAAGTGTAATATCAATGCAGCAATCCGCGGGATATTGCCACTTTGAAACACCCAGTGTCCCTCCGATGCTATAGCCGCATGTTATGATCAGGGGGATTTGTCTATTTAGATAATGTTTCACGGAGGAGATTGCTTCGGTAAATTAATCAAAAGTTGCCTCCCGTGGTTCATTTATTTTGATCAATGATTGGATGGAGAAAAAAAAAATGGAATGTCAAAGCAATGCAGGTGACCTGAAAATAAACAAATAAAAGCAAAGGGGGAATAACCAGATTACAATACGTCTCTGTCCGTTCAGTAAATGAAATAGAACAGAGTCCCTGGAATCTATTTCCTAAAGAGTGTCCTCGTTACAAAAGAAAGTACATTTATTTATTCGTATGCCTCGCCTTAAGTTTCTTTAGACATAATGCAATGCAAAATTGCAGCGATTAATTGTGGACATGAGCCACTATCTCCAAACAGTGACAGAATGACCAAAGGCTCAGTAAGCACTTTGTGTGAAGGTGCTCTACTGAAGCTGAATTTAAACACCTCTTAACCATCTTTACCCTCAGAAAGTCACAAAAAAGTGTAGAAAGAGACAAAGTAAATTCTTCAATGTAGTGATACAGCTTTGCAAAGTGCTACGAGGGTTTCTTTGCTAGTCTTGGCCAGAACATATAAACTTTGTTATTAACTGTAAAGTTAATTTCTTTTTGACAAAAGGACTGCCTTGAACCTTTGTTTTCCATTTGTTTTTACTGTAAAAGTCTGTTGTGTGCAAATGCTTGGGGCCCAAATGAAACCTTTGGAGTGCAAAGCATTCAGCATTCCCCCCCCCCCCCCCCGAGAGCTATCACTCCACTGGCGTACACATGTTGACTATTCTACTCTGCCTGGTTCTTCAAACCCGTGTGAGGTTAATCTCAGCCATCGGAGCTACTGTATGTGAGACAGCAGTTTCTATGTCATGATTATACTATTTTATACAGCCACCCAGTGCTATGAGGGCTATTTCATGCAGTAATGATTTTTGTGAGGAGAAAAAACTAAAGCAACATTGGCACATTTGTCCTTTTTTGTATTCCCTTGCAGGAAAATGGCTTTCTTAGCATGCGATTTATCCAATTACGGATTCACAGCAGTGCGAAGTCGACCATATGATACAGCCTTAGTCTATTTTTCAGCTTTTGGAGCAAATCCAATCATTCCAAATGGTTGCTGATGGTAATAATTGCAACTGCATTGTATTGGAAGTGAGTCCATGGAGTGGAAACAAACAAAGTACATGAGGAAAAGGAAAGGTTACCCTCTAAAGATGAGGTAATTGAAGAGCCCGACCCCAGGCCCTCTAACCCTCATCCAGGACCTCTAATAATGTCTCCTCAGCCCCTGGCTGGCCTCCAGCATGCTCCCTGGGGCCAGAAACAGAAATCTTTGCATGATATTTTTAAGTGTGTGCCTAACCTTGTTTTACCTCCCCGTCAAATTCCCTTTGTTGCTTGACTTTTTCATGTTCAAGCTGTAACATTAGCAGTTCCCTTTGTTGTTCAAATGTTAGAGCCACCGAGTTGACTGCTGGAAAACTACGAGTTGCTTACTCATGTCCTCAGTTACCAGTATTTTAACTTCCAACAATTTGTTTTTCAAAAGTCATTGTGAACCCACCAAATACTATACTACTGCGCACCAGACTGACAAAAGCATCCTCATCCCCAAACAACAAAACAATTATCAAATTTTGCATCCCAGTTCAGTTACCCGGAAAAAAAGTGCAAACAAACTGCCAAATTAGAAGAGGCTCACACAAATGTTATTCCTTTTATTACCCGAGTGTCATGAGCTATCTCACAAAAAGAGGGAGATAACACGAAGGTTGAAAGGCAAAAGGTATCAC